AGTGATGGAAATTTAAAACATCAGCAGCTGTCAGTGAAAACTTTCTTCAGACCTGCAGAGACATGAACAAACATTTTCATTCTCAGTTATTTTCATTTCACTTTAAGTGTAAACTCACCATCTGTGACAATGATCTCAAACTCCCGGTAGGGATCTGGTGAAAAACGTCTGTCCAGACCACACCTGTACCGTCCTGAGTCAGACTTGGTCAGCTGTGTGATGCTCACATACACAGATACATCTGTCAGAGATCGTTGTGTATATCTGATGCTGTATCTGCCTCTCTCAGCTGTGTAACCAGTTGTTTCAACAAGAATGTCTTTCTCTTTACATTCTTCCTTGCAGAAATACCTCCTCCTTCCAGAGACAGTAAAGGAGCATCCAACTACAATATTTCCTCCAGCTCTTGTATAGAGGGATTTGTCTTCAGGAGGACTTCCATCCAGCAGTGCTGTTGAAAAGATGAACAATCAATAGTTACTATCTGTACTTAACATGATGCAGTCTGATCACAATAATCACAGTTTCAAATGTGATCCACAGTTACACTGGGAGCTGCCCAGTTCTACCAGTCTGTGACTGATTTGGATTCTTCCAGCAAAGATTCAGAGCATCATAATCTCAGCCTCTGCACACAATATGATCATTGATCTTTGCATATGGAAAAGTGATATTAATATTCTGTGATTGCAGATGAAAAATACTCGTAAATAACCTGTTAAGAAAACATTCACTTCAGAAGCACAAACGGTTAAAACTCTCACACTGATGTCAAAATGAAAAGTATAAAAAAGTATGTGTGTTTGTGTGACAGATTCAGTTTATCAGCCTGTTGTTTTTAAATGAGCATTACAAACACATAATCAGAGTTCACAGAGATACAAATATAAAGTAAATCAACCAGTGAACAGTGAAGCTTTTCTTCAGACAGGAAAGAAAATTTTTCATGACTTTTAGTAGAAACTCACCATCTACAACAATGATTTCAAACTCAATGTTTGATCCACCAGACCACACTTGTACAGTCCTGAGTCAGACTTGGTCAGCTGTGTGATGCTCACGAAAACATTTCCTCCTCTCTCATATCTGATGCTGTATCTGCCTCTCTGATCTCTGACACCAGTTGTGTGAATGAGGATGTCCTCTGGTTTACATTCTCTCTTGCAAAAGAACATCGAGCTTCCAGGTGAAGAAAAGGAGCATCTAACTGTGACATCTCCTCCTTCAGTTCCTGTAAACACAGGTGGGATCAGGGCATTGGTGAGACCAGTGTTTCCATCCTGCAGAACTGTTGAAAAGATGAACAACAATAGTTACTGTCTGAACTTCCTGTAAGATGCTGCAGTCTGATCACAACATTTGCTGCTTCACGTCACACTGGGAGCTGCCCAGTTCAACCAGTCTGTGGCTGAGGATCATAGACTGGTACTGCAGGTGAATGTTATTGTTTTATTTTTCCTGTCTGTCTTTTAGCCATCATCCTTTATTCTTCCCTGTATAAATAAAGATTTCAATCAATCAAATGTAAATTATAAAAAGTAACTAAATCCCCCCAGATCATAAAATGTGTAATTTTTTGTAGTTTTGCTGCTGTAATGTTTTTTTGTATTTTTTGTTCTTTTCTCTTTCCTCCTTTCTTGCTTGCTTTTTCTCTTTTCATACAACAGTTAGACATAAAAAAGTATAAGTAAGTAAGTAAGTAAAGTTTATTTGTATAGCACCTAGGTGCCACTGCTTGGAATGAACGATCCCCTCTGGTTTTAAAATGAGTGTCGGGAACCACTAACAACCTCTGACCTGATGACCTCAGACTACGGGTCGGAGTATGAAGCTGTATAAACTCTGAGATGTAGGGAGGAACTTGACCGTGCAGGGCTCTAAAAGTAAGAACGATGGTTAATTATCTGTCCGAGAGGAAATATATACAAAAGGAACAGGATGGGTCCCAAGACAGAACCCCGAGGTACCCCACACGACAGTCCTGCAGTTTCAGACATGATCTGATTTACACAAACACTAAAACGTCTACCTGAAAGGTAGGATGAAAACCATTTTAAAACTGATCCAGACATCCCAACCAGATCATGGAGTCTATTTATCATAATATTATGATCAGCAGTATCGAAAGCAGATGGAAGGTCCAAGAGAACCAAAACTGTTTATTCCTAAGAGTCAGCTGACATCAGAATGTCACCAGAAACTTTAAGTAATGCAGTTTCTGTGGAAAGCACTTTACGGAAACCAGACTGGAATTTGTCAAACAGCTTGTGATTCTCTAAGAAAAGGGTGAGTTGCTCTGCTACAACGTTTCTAGAATTCTTGACATGAATGGAAGTTTTGATATCTGCCTGTAGCTCTTAGGTTGTAATGGATCCAAACTGGGATTTTTAAGTACAGGCTTAACAGTACTGTTTAACTGTTTCAAACACTTGTACAAATAGCACAGTAGAGACATCCATGGGACAAGATGAAGGGTTCAATGTATGTAGGAGAGAGGTGATGTCCTGTAATGTCACAGGTTTAAAATACGACCAAGAATGAGCAGAATACAGGTCACATGCAGAGTTCTGTGTAAGTGATGGTGAGATGTTTGTTCTAAAATCTCTGATCTTACAAAGAAGTGAAGGAATTCATTATAGTCTGATCACAATTGCTTGAGGGGCAGAAGGAGAAACAATTTCATTTATGGTGTCAAGCAAGATTTTAGGATTTTGCTTATTCGAGGATATAAGCTGAGAAAAGAAGCAAGTTCTCGCATTTCTTAGCATTTCATTTAAGGTAACCCTTTGTTCTCTCAGAGAAAGCCTATGAACCTCAAGTTTAGAAGATTTCCATAGACATTCAACTTTTCTACAATTTCTCCTAAAACTCTGGATAGTTTAATCAACCCAAAGACAAGGTTTTTTATAGGAGACAATGTTTGTTTTAACTGGTGCCACTTTATCTAAAGTGCTAAGCACCGATTATTAAAAGACTGGATAAAAACATCTGCATCACTGCATCCCATCAGTGAACATGGGTCAAACAAGGAAGAGAACCTCTCCGCAGCATCATGATTAATAATCCGCCTTTGGGCCCTAATTCCCAGGGGCAGAGGATCTAGAGGAAAGTTAATGTCAAAGAACACACAGCTATGAGCCAGCCGGGCCAGGAGGACGGTAAATTAGCACACAGTAAAATGTGTTAAAAGCACCTACTTTGAGCATCTGTGATTGAGTTTCTAGCTCGACATAAGAATCTATCACGATGTACAACAGCAAGCCCACCACCCCAGCGTGCTTTGCGGGGCGTCCCAGTAACAGAGCAGCCGACAGGACAGAGCTCATTTAAGTGAACAAACTCATTTTCCCTTTGCCACGTTTCAGTTAAGAACATAAAATATATAATTATTCTCACTGGTAAAAAAGCTTGTTAAGAATAAAAGTTTTGTTAGAAATGGCGCACTGAGCAAGGCAAACCGGAACGATGACGGCAGGCCAGCATCCACAACAGCTGACGGAACTAACCGTAAACAGGTGACACGGTCACGTGATCTAGTGGTCAATTGCTAGTCAGACAGCACAGTAACCATCGGTAGTGGCAGGTCCGCGTTCCCATCAGCATGTCGCTGGAACAGAAGAGGTTCTCCTCTGACAGGTAGAGACATCCAGGGGGCGCTGCAGCTGGAGAGCATTTCCACCCGCATCCAGGAGGGAAACTGGCCGCAACCACCGGGTTCGTTCTCCGCTCTGAGGCCAGAGCACACCCATCCAGGAAGGTCGCCGTATCTTGATGTGAACGCCAGCTCTGCAGACCCTTCTCCTGGATCTCTTCTTGGGATTACCAGGGCCCCTGGGGCGGAAAAGTTTGTTTGTAACTTTCCCAGTTATCAAAGAGTCCTTCCATAGACTCTCTGATGTCCAACAACGAGCGTCGAGACACAATCATTAGACGTTAGGGCTGATATGATAACAAAACATACCAGTACAAACACTGAAAGTTGACACATATGCGACGCAGCAGCGGCCAAGCCAAACACAGGCGCCATCTTTGTCCATACATGTTTAAACAATGATGAAACACACTACATAGGTTTGTATGTCAGTAATAACATTCATTTAGAATTTAATATTAATTTCTACAAAAGTGGAAAACTGTATCAGAGTATACAGCAGAACAGACAGTAACAGAGCCCCAACAAAACAATATGAAATAATGAAATCAGTATTAAAAAGGAGAACCAGACAAAATGTGAACATAAATATTGTAGATTAAAACTTTCAGGTCAGTTTTTAAGCCACAAACCACAAGAGTTCAGTGAGACTTTCAACATTCTGTAACTCTTTCTTCCCGTTTATCAGAACACAGAACTGACTGACTGTATTTACATCAGAGCTTTAGCAGGATTTGTTAGATGTGTAAACAGTGATCAGTAGGTTATGAATTTTTTTTTAATGTGATGTAAATACATGTTTATTTATCCAGTTCTTAAATCCATGCATTTCTTTTGTTTCTATTTGTGTGATATCTTTATGTAAAAGCTACTACATACAGAAGTTATTTCAAATCTTGTGAAGCTACAACAAAGTCCACTAACAGTCAGGCTGAAGCAACAGAACACATAAACTCTGTCAGTTGCTGGTTCCAGCTTCTCAGATGTTGAGATTCAACTCTCTTCTAATTGTGTAAGATTATGCCCTTCATTTCCTTCCTCATGTGCAGTTTAATTAGAGGAAGTTAAATAAAGAACTTGTACCGGACTGTATTTTAAAGGATATGTACTATTCTCACAAGCTCATATTTACATTGAAAGAGCTTCTGGAGGTAAAATCCACATTCTATGCGAGGACTATTTTAGGACAGACTTCAAAAAATGGGAACGTTTCCATTAAAGTGCCTCATACCTGACTCTGATCATCATATTTAACTCATGAGAAACTGTGACACTACTGACCAACAAAGAAAATAAAGAAAAACTACATAACAAGAGAGAGAGACAGAAATCCAAAGTGAATACTCACAGAGGAAGAAGAAGCAGATCAAAGTGTGACGGACTTTCATGTTGAGGCTCTGATGGTTTACTGCTGCCTCTCTGACTTCTTCACTGACAAACCAGGAACTTCTAACTTCTTTAAATGATGAAGTCCCTCCTCCAAACACAACACACACACACACACACACACACACACACACACACACACACACACACACACACACACACAGCTCTACTCTCCTCCCCTCTCCATCATCTATATTTGTACTGCAGGGTCTGAGGTTTCCTGCACATTCATTCAATTCAATTCAATTCAATTTTATTTATATAGCGCCAAATCACAACAACAGTTATCTCACAGCGCTTTTCATAAAAGAGCAGGTCTAGACCGTACTCTATGATGCTATTTACAGATTTATTTACCAAGAGCACTAGGCGACAGAGGCAAGGAAAAACTTCCTTTTAAGAGGCAGAAACCTCGAGCAGAACCATGGCTCAGGGTGGGCGGCCATCTGCCTCGACCGGTTGGGGTGAAGGGGAGAGAGAGAGAGAGAGAGAGAGAGAGAGAGAGAGAGAGAGAGAGAGAGAGAGAGCAGCCTACACAATATACACACAGAGGGGTACAGACAGTAAAGGTTGCTATGGACTAAATTAATAATTGTACAGATATTTATAGTAGTGTTAATGGTAACAGTCGTAATGTTACTGATTATAATAACAATAGGACTAGTAACAATAGTTGTTGCAGCAGAGGGTGTCGAGCAGGAACACGGGGGCAGCAGGTGACCCGCAGCCACAGATCCAGACTCCACAGCTCCAGAGCCAGAAAACCTGCAGGAAGTGATAGGAGGAGAGAGGAGAGGGACGAGAAAGCACAAGACTACCAGAAAGGGGAGAAGTTGTGTTAGTAACATGCAATAATGGGATGAGGTTGCATACAGAGGGAGAGAAAGTAGAGGAGAGAGGAGCTCAGTGCATCATAGGAAATCCCCCGGCAGTCTAGGCCTATAGCAGCATAACTAAGGGATGGTTCAGGACTACCTGAGCCAGCCCTAACTATAAGCTTTATCAAAGAGGAAAGTCTTAAGCCTACTCTTAAATGTGGAGATGGTGTCTGCCTCCTGAACCCAAACTGGAACCTGGTTCCACAGGAGAGGAGCTTGATAGCTGAATGCTCTGGCTCTTAGTCTACTTTTGGAGACTCTAGGAACCACACGTAACCCTGCATTCTGGGAGCGAAGTGCTCTGGTGGGGTAGTAAGGTACTATGAGCTCTTTAAGATAAGATGGTGCCTGACCATTAAGAGCTTTGTAGGTAAGAAGAATGATTTTAAATTCTATTCTGGATTTTACTGGAAGCCAATGCAAAGAAGCTAAAACAGGAGAAATGTGATCTCTTTTCCTGGTTCCTGTCAGAACACGTGCTGCAGCATTCTGGATCAGCTGAAGAGTCTTAATGGACTTTTTCGAGCAGCCTGATAATAAGGAATTGCAGTAATCCAGCCTAGAAGTAACAAATGCATGGACTAGTTTTTCTGCATCATTTTTAGACAGGATGTTCCTGATTTTCGCAATATTACGTAGGTGAAAAAAGGCGGTCCTTGAAATTTGCTTAATGTGAGACTTAAACGACATGTCCTGATCAAAGATAACTCCAAGATTCCTCACAGTGGTGCTGGAGGCCAGGGCGATGCCATCCAGGGAAACTATATCTTTAGATAATGCGTCACGGAGGTGCTTAGGCCCCAGAGCAATAACTTCAGTTTTATCTGAGTTTAACATTAGAAAATTACAGGTCATCCAAGTTTTAACATCCTGAAGGCACATTTGAAGTTTAGCTAACTGATGAGTTTCATCTGGTTTGATTGATAGATATGTAACGTGGGGGTTCGATGTTAGGTGGTTGGAACACTCTTTATGAGAAAAACAACAGGATGGAGACGGATAACTTTCTTACGCAGCACTTTACTTTTCACACCTCGTCACAACAACAACACTTCCTCGTCCTCCCTCTCACATGACCGAACTAACCAATCAGGAGCTAGCAGGAGTTAGACTGAAGTAAATGCAAAGAAAACACAGAGGTAGATTCTGCTTAATATCGTAGCTGATTCACAGATTCAAATGTAATGATTTAGATACCAACTGTGATACAAATAAAAAATGCCGTGAACTGAATACACACTGTAAATATATTTTTAGTAAATTACCTCAAAAATGTGAATTAACTTAACTTCTCTTACATTAACTCTTACAGATATAACTGAGTATCATCTGCATAACAATGAAAGTTTATGGAATGTTTCCTGATAATATTGCCTAAGGGAAGCATATATAAAATGAAGAGGATTGGTCCGAGGACAGATCCTTGAGGAACTCCATGACTAACTTTGGCATGCATGGAGGACTCATCGTTAACATGTACAAACTGAAATCGATCTGATAAATAGGACTTAAACCAGCTTAGAGCGGTTCCTTTAATGCCAATGAAATATTCCAGTCTCTGCAATAGGATCTGATGGTCAATGGTATCAAATGCAGCACTAAGATCTAATAAAACCAGTACAGAGACAAGTCCTTTGTCTGATGCAATAAGGAGGTTGTTAGTAATTTTCACCAGTGCTGTCTCTGTGCTATGATGAGCTCTAAATCCTGACTGAAAATCCTCAAATAAACTATTGCTCTGTAGAAAGTCACACAGCTGTTTAGCAACTGCTTTCTCCAGAACCTTAGAGAGAAATGGAAGGTTAGATATAGGTCTATAGTTGGCTAAAACATCCGGATCAAGTTTGGGCTTTTTCAGAAGAGGTTTAATTACAGTTACTTTAAAGTACTGTGGTACATAGCCTGTTGATAAAGATAGATTGATCATATCTAGTATAGAAGTGCTGACTAAGGGTAAAACATCTTTAAGCAACCTAGTCGGGATGGGGTCTAAGAGGCAGGTCGATGGTTTAGATGAAGAAATTATTGAAGTTAGTTGGTAAAGATTGAGTGAAGCAAAACATTCATGTGTGTTGTAACACAATCCTCAATGTTTTCTTTACCTTCAGTTCAGTACTGGTGCATTTATATAGAACTGCAGTCAACATCACAGGCGTACTGCATCATATCATTTGTTTTTGTTTTTTTAAAGCAACTATAAAAGTCAAATAAATGCAGTGGAGTAAAAAGCACAATATTTCCCTCTGAAAGTTAGCGGAGTAAAAGTATAAAATTGAAATACTCAAGTAAAGTACAAGTAAGTAAAAATTTAATTATTTCTACAACAATGGAAATATCAGCAGTAATCAATAAAACAGCCATCAAAACACCCGGATGAGACTGTGAGAACATATGTACATTTTGAAAAATCTACTGATTCATCATTGAGCTATTCTTAGAGTCTCATGGAGGCGATAAAGTCAAGTTTATTCTAAAGACTCCTAAAGGATTTCAATCCAGTTGTGTTTGTGTTGAGACTTTGTTGACCAATCGTTTATTGATAATAGATTATAGGCTTTTTAAAGCTCCCTCCAGGGCTGTTTTAATTTTGCTCTGTGAAGCACGTTTGTATGAAAGCTACTTTCTAAACAAGGTAGAGTTAATAATCTGGAACGAACTGATGAAGGAACAAAGGATCTGGGACAGTAGGCCTGGGCAATATGTAGGCTGAATCTAAATCTCCACACTAATGGACTCATTGTCTGTGAGGCGTGTTCCTGGTGGGTCCACGAGGATCCGCGTGTCTGACACGCCCACCAAACGGGAGAAAACATACCTCAAAGCGCGTTGCACAGCGTTGCAAGAAAACATTTTGTTCAATCCGAAAACGTTGCAAAACGTTTTGAGATTTCATCGCCCCAGGTCACACAGCCACCCCTCACATGTGCAAACACTAATCGCTTAACTGATCACTAACCAATCACTGCTTTAGTATAATCAACCAGGACAGAAACTGGTCTGAGAGTCAAGTCCAGCCTGAGTCGCTTTACAGGGGCGTCCATAATTTCAACCATGAGAAATGAGAACAGGTACGCAACTATCTAATGACTATTTCAGCATTACAGTATTTATATTGCTGTTTGGCAAGAGAAAGTCTTGTGGGATGAAGCTTAACTTTGCACTGGTATCTCAAAAATATACTATTATGAAAAAAGTGTTTGCCATTTGATGCAAATGCTTCTTTGTGGGATGTGTATATGGCATTTTGAATGCAGTGTATGATTTTGACATTTGTGGCATTTGTACTTATTCTATACATTTTATCATGTTTTAGGTTTCAAAACATCTTATCGAAGGACTGACTATCAATAAAATTCATTTTATTGATATTACATAGTAACTAATCTAAGTAAATATAATAATTAATAAATATAATGTGTATATATATATACACACTCCCAACAAAAAAATTATGCAACAGTTTGCATTAATGTTTTTGAGTTGTGACAACTTTTGAAATTATATTGAAGAAACAAACTATTTTTAGTTAGGGGAATTAGCTTTTCCTCTACAACCAAAGGCAATTTCTATTACCAGTTACTCAATTAGTGGTAGCTTAGAGACAAGTGTTTATGTTGATTACTCGTAAAAATGTGGCTCAAACAAAATTTTCACCTCATTTAAAAGTATTTTTATGTACTTAATTACCACAATCACAAACACAGGATTGAAGTTAAAAAACATTGTAAAATTTAAGTTACTCCCAATTGATTTTCTTCAGTAGTTTTTTTAGAGCTTTTTAGGCAAATCAACATTTTTTATACAGTTAGGGTATATTGAACTGCAGTTGAGTATTGAACAGATTATATTTAAAACTTAAAAATCTGTAAAATGTTAACTCCACTTATTAAACATTTTGTTAAACTACAGTGACAAAGTTCTAAGCAAGTGTTCATTAAATTTAAACTTTCACTGCTCACTAACCTTCTCAGAACCTGCAGCTTTTTTATACACAATTTCCCACAAAAATGGATTTTAAAAACATAGCCCCTCTTTGGACAAAAATATGTATTTTATTAAAACATATTGTTTATTTTGTCAACTGCCCATACAAGATTTGTTCAACATACAGAATATCAAATTGCTAGTACCTGGTTGGAAAGCCGTCAGAACTGCCTTAATTCTTTGTGGAATACTTTCAACAAGGAGTTGGAAACATTCCTCA